GTTTAGGGTTTAGGGTTTGGCGTTCGGCCTTGGCTGTTCGGGTTTCATTGAAGACTCAATCGATGCCTTGCCCAAACACCGAGGATCCGCAACCGTAACTGTCCATACCTAAAAAGCCCAAAGCCATACCTATAGTCTCTGTTGTTATTTCTTTTTGGGGTTGCACCAATTTATGTTTAGGATCCCAAAAGGTTGCCCAAAAATGCAACTACAATGGAGACTATAAGTAAGCCCTCAACCCCGTCTTGGCCCAAACCCTACCCTCAAACCAAACCCCCCAATACTACCCTACATTACCACTATGGTAGCTCCTGGTGCATAAACTGCTTCGCGTTTATAGTGATTACAGCAGGGGTCCTAAGACTAGGGCCCTTAGGGAAAATGCGTTCATCCATCATTGGTCTACCTTATCCAAAACCCAGGTACACAACCCTAAACCCTAAACCCTGAACCCTAAACCCGGTTTAGGGTTTAGGGTTTAGGTCTTGAGACCATTGGGGCTTCTGGGAGGTTCATGGAGTGCAAAGGCTTCAGACTGCACATCAGGCAGCAGCGATCAGTTTCAATGCAGCAACTCCCAAACCACCTTACCCAGAGGGTCCCAAGTACGCAAATGGTAGGGTTTGTTGGGTCCCCAATCCATGCTCCGAATGGTTTTTGGAGCTTTAAACCCTACTATTTGAACCCTAAACCCTAAACCCTACTCGGACCCTTAGGGTATGGAACCCCCTACCATTTGGGTCCTTGCACTCGAATGCTCCCTTACCCTCAAGGGACTCATAACTTTAGGGCTTAGGGTACTTTAGGGTTTAGGGTGTAGGGTAACTTTTTGGTTTAAACCCTAAACCCTAAACTGGGGTAGCTCTTTGGTTTTAAACCCTAAACCCTAAACTGGGGTAGCTTTTTGGTTTTAAACCCTAAACCCTAGCGTAGCTTTTTGGTTTAGGGCTGAGGGTTCCGGCTGGCAGGGTGCAGGGCTCAGGGCTTCGGGTTCGACTCATCGCTTAAGGCTTTCAGGCCCAATGACGATGCCAGTATCTAACGTAGGGTTTAGGGTTCAGGGGCCTTAATGGGTTTAGGGTTTAGGGTTTAGGGTTTTAGGGGCCTCAATAATTGGCCTAGGGTTTTTGGGGGTATATTATACTACAAGTATCATATAAGGAACCCCTAAAATAGCATAGGTAGTTGTTAAGGAGGCCCCTATGCTAGGCATGCACACGATGCTGAGCCTTCGGCTCGAGGGGTGCTTGGCCTTGCAAAATCCCTGAGTTAAAGCAAGGAACATACCTTAGTTATAGTAGGACCCCTAGTATGATGTGAGGTACCCTAAGGGTCCAAGTACCCATTATTTAAGGCCTTTGGGGCCTTTTTGGACACCTAAAGCCATAAATAAGGACTACTTGGACCCTTAGGGTTAGTTATAGTAGGACCCCTAATACGCTGCAAGGTATCTTCCCTGCCTTAACAATTTAAGACCATACCTTGAACTGTGGTAGGACCTTGAATATGATATACTATAAGGTATATCCCTTCCTCAAGGGACTTTGCAAGGTCCCAGGTCGTGTCAGGATTTACCAAGGCATTACCAAGATGTAGGGGTTTAGGGGGTTTAGGGTCTATGGTTTAATTTAACCCCTAAACCCCCGAACCCCTACACCCCTAAACCCCTAAACCCCTAAACCACTAAACCCCTAAACCCCTAAACCCCGAAACCCCCAAACCCCGAAACCCCGAAACCCCCAAACCCCGAAACCCCGAAACCCCTAAACCCCTAAACCCCTAAACCCCTAAACCCCTAAACCCTAAAAGCTTGTGTTCTTGGTTCTAGTGCTTCGGCTTCGGGCTCTAATCCCTGTGCCATGTTGACGTCAAGATCCGATCTTGGGAACAGAGGAAGCAAACACAGAATTACAGGGTTTAGGGTTTAGGGTTTTGGGTTTAGGGTTTAGGGTACAGTGCAGAGTCTTGGAAACTTAAAACCCTAAAACTTCAGAGTCTTAGAAACTCTAAAACCCTAAAAGTTCAGAGTCTTAGATAAAACCCGAAACGTTCAGAGCCTTAGAAACCCTAAGACCCTAAACCCTGTGAGACCTAGAATTCGGCCCTACAAGCTCAAACCTCTCTTGCTCCAGGACCCGAAGTATAAACCAGGCTATCCAAAGACATGTGCTAGGCCCTAAACCCTAAACCCTAAACCCTAAGGGTTCAGCCGCCTGGCAGACTTTTGGTAGGGAACCCAGAAGCACTGCTATCTTGAGCAGTGTACCTATGTGTTGGATACTCGGACCGCCACAACCCGAAGCTTAAACATAATATAGCGGCCTTAATGATTAGAATAGGGTTTTGGGGTATGATATACTGTATAATCATAGGTAATTATATAGGCTTCTATGTTATATCTCAACATAACCCAAGCACCCTGCTTTCCCCATCAGCCCTTCACCCTAAATTAAACCTCATAGGAACACTTTCAGGCCTAAACTGGAATCCTTGGCTTTTGCCACCGCGACTAAGGAGAGTTGCACTACACAAATCCGCGGTTCAGACTTGCCAGGGCCCTCCTTCACAGCGCAAGCATCGTTCGCGGGTTTTGGGGTTTTAGGGGTTTAGGGACGTTTAGGGTTTAGGGTTTAGGGTTTCAGGATGCTTGTATACAAAGTTGCAGACATTGGAGTTTCTAAGGTTTCATGAGGGTTCTACTACAAGGATGCACGCAAGGTTCCGTAGGGGTTCTTCCAAGAATTGCGTCAGGCTTTGGTGAAAGTTTGAGAAGCGTCCTCTAAGGGTAGTTTCGAGGTTGTGTCGTTCTGCGTGGTTCGATTTCAGATTGTATAAGGTTTCTGTGAGGGTGTAACAAGCATTCTGTGGAGTTTTACAAGGGTTCTGTCATCAAAAGAGTTCCGAAGGGTTGTACAAGGTTTTTATAGATGCTTCATAACCAGTTTGCAAAGGCTCAAATTTCTTAACATCCTTTTCCACAAGTTCCATCAGCGCTTCATAAGAGCTTCGTATGCGCTCTACTTTGACCCTGAATTGCAATGCCGTTTGGGGGGGGGTATGGTCAAGGTCCTGTGACGAGAAAACATTGCTACCAAAGAAACCAGAAACCCTTATATAGAGGCCTTAATCAGTAGAATAAGGTTTGGGGCCCATTCTATGGTAAATATAAGTATAACGAGGAAACCCCAACATAGTATTGGTAATTGTTTAGGCCGCTATATTGAACCCTAAACCCCTATAGCCTAAACCCAAAGCCCTAACTGGGCTCTAAACCAGCATAACATGGCCACAGAACCCTAGCATTTGGAGTGAGATTTATGGGATTTCGTGCTTCGGCTTTTTTTATACATCATAGAGTTATGGGGCAAGCTCTAATCGGAAAGCCCGTAGCTCCCTGTCACTCTTTCAAGACCTAAACCTAGACCCCCCAACTACCCTCTAATATACCCTAAATGCCCACTATTGAGGGCCATAGGGGCTCCATTAAAGGGCCCTTGAGGGTCCTGGAATATCATGATGTGTTTTCTAAAAAAGGTTGCCCTAAACCCTAAACCCTAAACCCCTAAACCCTAAACCCTAAACCCTAAACCCTAAACCCTAAACCCTAAACGCTAAACCAAAACCCTAAACCCTAAACCTTAACCGTTGAACCGCAGCAACCCGATCGTTCCTGGCAGTCTTCACGGAAAGGTCGGAGAACTGGCGCAACCAAGAGGCACCTGAATTCTCAGAGCATTCGATGTTAGCTTCTTGAAGCCTAAAACCTAAGAACAAATTACTCCACGCTGGGGTAGGGTTCAGGCTTTAGGGTTCAGGTTCCCTAAACCCGAACCCTGAACCCTGAACCCTCAACCCTAAACCCAAACCCTAAATTTAAGGGCCTCTTTCTTTGCTCCGAGGTGTCAGGGCTGAAGGTTTCAGGAGTGGGGGCTTACACAGGGCTCGGGCATGAAACCCAAAACCCAAAACCCAGGTCTAAGTTTAGTGCCATAGGCGCTCCATGAACGAGGGAAGGCCCACTGCAATCCTTTCAGCATCCTTTAAGCTCTACGCTCGAGGCCACGTCGGAAACACATCACATGAACAGCTGCGGAAGAAGCCCAGTCTCAGAGTTTTCATCGCCTCTGCAACCCAATCTGCTGCAGACTGTCAAACAGGTCAGCATCCCAGCATCGGACACGATTTCTGCCCTGCTTGGAGTACAAAGGAAGATGGCTACAAGACGGCTGTCACCAGGAGCCGTTCAGCTCATTGATCACATCGCCGACTTCAATCACGATCTTTACATCATTACCTTGCCGATCGACAGTGACTTTACCCTTCTTGTCAAAGGCCTTCTTGACATCTTCAAGATAATCCTTGAAAGGGCACCCTTTGAGAGCTGCTTCCATCTCTGGTGTCATCGATGTTGCTGTTACCGCTGACTTGGAGCATTCTGCAGTCGCATCGAAATTGGCATCCACCACCTGCGGATGTCCCTGGAACCCTAAACCCTAAACCTTAAACCCCAAACCTTAAATCCTAAACCCCAATCCCTAAACTTGGCCCTAAACCCTAATCCTAAACCCTAAGCCCCGAACTTGGCCCGACAGCGTTACCCTCAACCCCTTTAGTGGGCCTGTGGCTTGGATTTGCTCTCAACGACCTCAACCGCCATGAGCTTGGCCCACATATCGGCCTTTGGAGACGGAATGTTCTCCTTGTAGTAACCTTCATTGGTGACGTTGCCACCTGGGAAGCAACAAGGATGCAACATAAGGGCTTTACTAGTTAGAACGAGGCTTTGGGATTAAGTATAATATATAAATTATGTTCGTTTTGCAATGCTATACTTGTACCCTATAATATTATATGTTCTGTATCCTCTTATGTTCCTCTACATTCTGAGATCTTCTATGCCACCATACTCTGTCATGTTACAGTAAACTACATTATAGTCTATGATATTATGCTGTCATACGTTATTATAGTATGTTGTATTGTTATGATACAATGCTTTACATGCTATGGTGATATTACGTTGTATATTAGAATTAGAACAATATTATGCCATACTATGTTTCATTATACTATATTACATGTTCGGCGGTGGTTTTACAAGACAGAGAACAAGACGGCACAATTTGGAAAACATCTTGGTAATGTTGCCACCTGGGCGGCAATTGGCCACCCTAAACCCTGAACCCTAAACCTTAAACCCTAAACCCTAAACCCACCTGGGAACAACGGAGAAACAAGACGGCACAGTCCGGCGCAGTCCGGCACAGTTTGGAAACATCTTGGCTAAACCCTAAAGCCTAAAGGCTAAACCCCTAAACCCTAAACCCTAAACCGCTATACCCTAAACCGCTAAACCCTAAACCCTACCTGGGAAGTAGTTGGTCACCCTAAACCCTAAACCCTAAACCGCTAAACCGCTCAACCCTACCTGGGAAGTAGTTGGCCACCCTAAACCCTAAACCCTAAACCCCTAAACTCCTTAACCCTAAACCCTAAACCCCTCAACCCTCAACCCTCAACCCTAAACCGTTTAGGCCCTAAACCGCTCAACCCTACCTGGGAAGTAGTTGGCCACCATGAAGCAGCCGTCTTTGGACTTGGCCATGCCGACCTTTGTTGTGCCTTTCCACACCTCGCGTGTGTAGGCTTTGTTTTTTTGGGGGGAGCAGAAGGGTTTTCGGGTTTAGGGGTTTAGGGTTTAGGGTTTAGGGGTTTAGGGTAGAGGTTTAGGGTGAGGGAAAGCTATCCTTGGGGATTTTAAATAGATTATGGTACACACAAAAAGTTGAAGGCTACTTACTCGAATGCTAAGACACCACTTGTGTGAAGTGGTGCACACCAGGTTTGGGACCAGGGCTTTCGAAATCATAACCAGGATCCTTGATCTCATTGTACCACGCCTGCACCGCATTGCACGCGGGATCTGGCTCAGAACAGCCGTAGGTGTTCCTGGGCTTTCAGGTAACCAGGGAGAAAAACGTATAGACTTTTATTTTGATAACGGCTCCTTTAAGGAACAGGTCCCCAAACAATTATTAAAGTATGGTACTCCAAAAAACCCTAAACCCTAAACCCTAAACCCCCAAAGCCCAGGTTCTGTCCATGGAAGCCAGATGGGCCTTGCTGGTTCCCGTGAGAAATCTTTCCATTGGCCTGGCACGTCTCTGCCTGCAGCAACGCAAACTTAGGGTTTAGGGTTTAGGGTCTAGGGTTTAGGGTTTAGGGTTTAGTCTAGGGTTTAGGGTTTAGGGTTTAGGGTCATAGCTGCCTGCAGCAAGGCAAACTCATAGCACTCGTGGCTCCATTCCAGGGCTGGCACACCGTGGTTCGCCCTGAACTTGTTGTGACAATCGAGACATTCCTCTGTCTGGTGCTTAGTAGGGAATGGGGGAATGGGTTATAAGGACTACTATAAGGGACCTTACAGTAAGGGACTATCATAGGGATCCATTCCCTACTAAGCACCAGACAGTCCTTGATCCAATCTGCTGGTGCTTCTGGTAGTCCGGGGCTTTCTACTCCACCGCCATCTGCAACAGCTCCATACTGGTCAATCCCGTCAACTGCAGCCGCTGCAATTCTCATCCTGTCGGCGGCCGACACATCCTTAAACGCGGCTTTCAAGTCATCATCGGAGACGCTTTTTGCCGTTTCGGCTATGGTCGCACTTGCGCCTGTGCCCATGAAGCGTGGGACAAACAAAGCAGCACAGCAAAGTCGTGCTCTGTGAGCCCAAATGACTACAGACTTACTATAAGGCCGTTAATAATTAGAATATGGTTTTGGGGTCCTTTATACTAAAAATATCGTCAGGAACCCCCCAAAATAGTACTAGTAAATTATTTAGGCCCGCTCTAGCAGAGAGGGCGTGCCTCATCTTCAGACGCCTTCTAGCTTCCCTGGACTTTGAAGTAACCAGGGAGAAAAAAGTATAGACTTCTATTTATAAAGGCTCCTTTAAGGAACAAGTCCAAAAAACACATTCAATGATATGCTACTCCAGAACCCAGCTCCTCGTAACTGAAAGCTTCAAAGGACTCGACAGCCACAGCTTGATCACCACTACGAGGCGAACACAAACTTCAGCAGATCTCTCGGCTCCCGCCCCAGCAAACCAAACATCAACAAACTCGGCTCCTAGCAAAAAGATGTCAGACCCGCACCTTAGACACACCAGGTGGATCAACAGTATGATTCTGTCAAGAAACCTTGGTCCTATGACCCCAGAGTAAGGATCCATAAAAAGACTCTTAATAAAGATGCAAATTTTCTTAATCAGGCTCCTATATTAAGATGTTTCAGATGCTGAATCCCTATAAGTCGGAAGGCCACCTTTGAGAACCAAGTGAACCCTAAGTGACTCTAATGTCCCATGTAGGGAATCTAGATACGAAGTCGTCTGATGATGCAGGCCCCTTACTATTGTTGAGGGGAACGTGGTCCTTAGAGGGGCTTGTATTGTACGATGACGAGCCCAAGACTTGCCAGATGTTAAGGGTCGTTTGATACTGAAGTCAGCAGGCAGTCTGGTGCTTCCTCCCTTTTCGCGGTGTGAGGTCGCATCAACATGGGGTCGCACCCTGTCATCAACATGTCTTCGCATGCGTACCTTGTGAGCTAGCCGGTGCTGCAAGTGAACATGGAAGTGGAAGTATACCTAGGGCCCCCCCAGCTGTCCTCGACTTTGTCTGAGTACTTGCTGTTAGGGACCATCTACCCTAAACCCTAAACCCTAAACCCTAAACCCTAAACCCTATCTTTTGCTGTTTAAAGGTTTCTCTTTCAAGGTGTTTTGAGACTGCCCGCAGAGTCTCCTTGATCACCTTCAGCGCAGGTTCACTTCCACATGCCTTTTCAATTGCCACCCGGGAGCCCTATACATGAGGTACGGTTTAGGGTTTAGGGTTTAGGGTTTAGGGTTTAGGGTTTAGGGTTGAGGTAGCGGCCTGAATAACTGGAATAGGGATTGTGGGTGGCATTATAGTACCACAGAATCACGCCATTTTATTAACCCTAAACCCTAAACCCTACACCCTCAACCCCTAAATATACTTACTCATCTTAATACGTGGATTCCGAGCCTCTTCCGCGCTTTTGTCAAGAAACCTAAACCCTAAACCCTAAACCCAAAGCTTACGAACTTCGACTCGTCCAGTTCACTTGTCGTCGTGTCCCGAAGCTACAAGGACATCCGGGCAGACGACAGGAGCGCAAAAGGCGAACCACATGAGGGTTTCCGAGAATAGGGGACCCTAGTATA